GCCTTCTCCAGTGTGACCCTGCCACACGTTCTCCTTACAGTTTAAAACTGACAGCAAAACCCCTGAGGTGGTTGTGTGAGGGTCTCAGATCTGTGGTCACTGCGCTCAGAAAGGCAGCTTTGCAAAGCAAGTATCTGGCCCTTAACATCAGAATGTTCTCAGCTATGGTGCTGGACGTTCCTGAAAATGGTGATTTATCACAGAAACCTTGGTTCTTTGGCTAATCTTAACTAGAGCGTTGCTAAGGCAATGCTATCAGGAGTGTGCTCTTCTGAACTGATTTTGCAGTATGCTTTTCAGTATTTGCATACTAAAGCCGCTATCTAGGGATTTTTTCTTGCACAAATGGTGAGAGAGAAAGGAATAATTTTCTTTCTGCTTATATGGGAAATTAGCAGAAAGCATGTATTTCACCAAAACTCATTTAATGAAAAAAATGCGAACAAATGAATGCAGCATATTTAAGAGAGACAAGTAAAATTCACATCTTGTTATACTGTAGAGAGAAGGCATTCCTTCTGTAATTATTTCTGAAGTACTGTACGACATTTGTATTACTCATTCGGACATAAAGGAAATTACTGACTAAACAGTTTTCACTGTTGGAACTCCCTTGTGCTTGTCACTGTTCAGGTTATTTTTAATCTGCCCTCAGTAAACAAAAACGATTTTCTAAACCCTGGCCGTAAAAATTTGTCTGTTCAAGGTATTGGTTCTGCATTTATTGTCATGTGACACCCACACGATATTTTTGAAACAAACAAAAAAAAGATTATCTGAAATCAGTATAAGGACTTCAGAATGATAATTGTATATTTAAATGGTTTAGGGTGTTTTTAATAGCAAGGAATCATTCATCAGTAGGATTCTAACTCTAAAGCAAAAATAGTGCAAGCCATCTGCAACAATTATTGCAATTTATCAACACAGAAAATCCTCTGTGCTTCCCTGTTCATCACTCCAGAATTTGCATTTGTATTCTTCTCTTTCATTCAGGTTTTTATAGCTTCCTGACTGCCAGGGTCCCTAATGACTAATCTTTTTTTATTTTCCCTGTAGTGCTTGATACTGAGAAAATATTTTATGCTAACTACCTCTAAATGGGATGAATTATTCTACAGATATGTTTGTCTCCTTCTGTTGACTATAGTAGAACCTTAAATGACTAGCTGAGTGAGATAAATCTCTCTAGTATCTTTGAGGTATCTCTTCTGTTAAATACAGATGAAATTGCTTAGGAAGTTAAGAACCATTACAGGTCCTGCTAGTAAATCTAACTGTATAATGCTAACTTCCTTGGGAACATAGGTTCAAAAGACTTGCAAATACTATTTAATTTTCTAAATATGTTGCTCAAAACAAAATCTACTGTCTATTATTGCCATATTACAGAAATTGTATCATCTTGCTGGAAGAATCACTTTGCTATCTTTCCACAGAACTTCATATGCAACTGCAAGTTCATACGCAACTGAATACAGAATCATGGAATCATTAAGGTTGGAAAAGACCTCTAAGATCATCAAATCCAACCATCAACCCAACACCACCGTGTCCACTAAACCGTGTCCTGAAGTGCCACATGTACACGTTTTTGGAACGCCTCCAGGGACGGTGACTCCACCACTTCCCTGGGCAGCCTGTTCCAACACTTGACCACTCTTTCAGTAAAGAAATTTTCCTAACACCTAATCTAAACCTCCTCTGGCATAACTTGAGGCCAGTTCTTCTTGTCCTATCACTAGTTACTTGGGAAAAGTACTTTTGATTTAACACACACAATTTTATATATACCCACTCTCAGCATTTTTACTTTGAGCAAATGTAGATTGATGACTGGCTGCAAAGCTCTTTGCTTTTCTACACCCACTCACCACATCTGTTCTTTATTCTCATCTGTGGAGAAGCTAAATATTCCCCCCTACTCCCCTGAACAACTCTTAAAAACATAAAAAGGATTTGGATAAACGATATGCTGAAATACCACAAACTAATCTGCGCAATTTTTTTACTAATTTTTTATCTCCTAAAATTTAAAAGAAAAAAAAAGCAGCTCTGCATTCTCCAAGAGTATCTGTAAATACACACTGACTTTCGGATACCTTCAGTTAAAAAATACAAAACCAGCAAAGCCCACAAAATACATCTATTTTCTTCCCCTCTTTCCATCTCCCAAAAATCAAAACAAGGAAAAATAAAACATTTCACTAAATCCCTAAGCAATTTCCCCTCTCCTGCCCTCTGGCTAGCAAACAGGATAACGTATTCACTCTAAGATGGAAGGCTGAAGGAAGGACTTAAAACTGCAGTAGAAAAACCTATGGCATGGCACATGAGCTCCAGACTTTCCTAGGAGTCCTTCAGTAAGTCTATGACTCTCCAAACTGTCTTCTAAACTTCTCCTGCAGTATGAATCTTTCAGTTGTGCTGTCATTCTTTCCTTTATCGGAACAGTAATCAAACCTCTCAGAACCACAGCTCATAGGTGAGGAGGAAAGGCAGTATTTAGTAGGGATCAGAAAAATACTGGATTGGTGCAGCCCAGCTGCTGGTAAAGGAGATTACCTCACTGGTAATGACTCCTCGAGTGCTTGGCAAGGTGTAATTGGATTGGGTAAGAGAGTACTAGCAATTGGATGGAAATAAACACTTCTGATACTGTAAGCCTGCATGTCAGTCTGTGCTTTACAGGCTGACAGGACTAACATTGTCTGAAGCAGACTCTACTGTAAATCTTCTGTCTTCAAGGCTTTTCTTCCAACATAATCCCAGCTGTATTTTCAAATCAACTCAGTGAAACAGGAAAGTGGGAAGGGGAAGATTTTGCTCTCTTTTTAATTAGTTGTTTTAAAAAAATATATCCCGCCAACCTAGAAAACAGCATGGTCTTTAGGACGGTACTGAAACTCACACAAACGTTTACTATCTGAAAGCCACGGATCAGACCAAAAAGAGCAGTTAACTATTCATACCCTGCTTACAACAGATAATCATTCCCACTAATAGGCCATGTAGCCCCCTCTAGGCTCAGTAAACTCCCATTAATCTTCAGAATCTGAAGCACAAAAAAAGTCAGAAGGAAACACTTCCATAAGCGTGACCAACTGGAATAAAAATCGTCAGAGCCCCTGCCTCATAATGTTCATTATTCCTGATTATGTTACAAGGCATTATCACCTCTTTATCTACCTTTCCTATTTCTAAAAGTGGGCAAAAGACAGAAAAGGTATCAAAGCAAAAGATTTCAGCAGAATGATTCAGGTTGGAAGGGACCTTAAATATCACCCAGTTCCAACCCCCCTGCCATGGGCAGGGACACCTTCCACCAGACCAGGTTGCTCAAAGCCCCATCCAGCCTGGCCTTGAACACTGCCAGGGAGGGGGCAGCCACAGCTTCTCTGGGCAACCTGTGCCAGTGCCTCACCACCCCCACAGTGAAGAACTTCTTCCTAATATCTAATATCTAATCTAAGTCTCCCCTCTTTCAGTTTAAAACCGTTACCCCTCGTCCTATCACCACACTCCCTGATCAAGAGTCCCTCCCCACCTTTCCTGTAGCCTCCCTTTAAGTACCGGAAGGCCGCTGTAAGGTGTCCCTGGAGCCTTCTCTTCTCCAGGCTGAACAACCCCAACTCTCTCAGCCTGTCCTCAGTCCTGAATCTAAAATTGTTTTCACTTCATTTACTACTTTAGAAGACTAAATGGCCAAAATTGCTGTTTTTTCTTGTCATTTTCTTCTCAAGATCGCAGAAAAATGTTTTCTGCTTTGTTGAAATACAGGTCATGAAATATGTGTTAAAGAACAAAATTTAAAAAATTAAACCGGATACTTCCTTCGGTGTTGCAACAATATACTGTACAATGAGGAATTTTCTTGTAACTACGTTATGAAAAATGTTACTGCAACTATTCATCTGTGTTGTCATAGCTGATACAAAACTAGGAGTAGTGACTGATACACCAGAGGATTATGTTGCTGTTCAGAGGGGCCTCAACAGGCTGGAGAAACAAGCAGAGAGAAATCACATGAAACTCACTTCAGCAGGGGAAAATGCAAAAGTCCTGCCCCCTGGGGACAAATAAGCCCAGGCACCAGTAGACCCTGGGGGGCACCTGGCTAGGAAGCAGCTTGGCAGAGAGTGACCTTGGGGTCCTGGCGGACAAGATGACCACAAGCCAGCAATGCACTCTTGCTGCAAAGAAGGCCAATGGCTGCCTGGGCTGCATTAGGAAGAAAGCTGCCAGCAGGTCGAGGGAGGCGATCCATCCCTTCTCCTTAGCACTACTGAGACATACCCAAAGTGCTGGGTCCAGTTCTGGACTCCCCAGTACAAGAAAGATGGACTTCCTGGAGGGAATCCAGCACAGGGCTACAAAGATGATTAAGGGACTGGAGGATCTGATAGATGCGAAGAGGCTGAGAGAGCTGGGACTGTTCAGCCTGGGGCAGAGAAGGCCCAGGGGGACCTTATCAATGTGTATAAATACATGATGGGAGGGAATGAAGAAGAGGGAGCCAAGCTCTTCTCAGTGGAGCCCAGTGACAGCACGAGGGGCAAAGAGCACAAACTGAAATGCATGAAATTCCATCTGATCACAAGAAAGCACTTTTTTTACTGTGACAGTGGTCAAACACTAAATGATTCCATTATTTTGTAATCAAAGTTTAACATTTTTCCATTTATTCATAGAATTACTCCAGCTACTCCATCTCATATGCCTTAATGCAGCTTCCATCGCACAACCTTCACTCAGTTAAAAATTTCACTGCATGATTCTTCCCAACATTCAGGTCTTACGTACCTCTTACTTAATGACTTTACATTATACTTTATAAATTTATAAGCAACTGCATATCTGAAACAACAAAAAAATAAGGAGGACTGATTGTTTTCGTTTCTGAACCAGTCTGCTGGTATCTTTTGTCATGAAAAAAACCAATTATACAAGTTCTTCAGTTACACTGCAATTTGCGGTCAACTAAAAGCCATAGTACTCACCACAGGCATTTGATCAAAGGTGCGAACAATGGACAATTTATCTACAAATAAGCAGAAAATTTGACCCATTGATATCATTTCAACATACAATCATGAATTCTATTGAAAAACAGATATGAATACCCATTTCTACCTGCTGGATTTCCACAAATAAGCTCCATCTTGTCTTGAAGAATACTAATTTGCCTTTCCAGCTGTTTGTTCAATTCTACTTGTGTCTCATATCTGGTTTTCCATTCATTACCTTAAAAACAAATACAGGGTTATCCTATTTCCCAGACTATTTCTTGACATTACAAGTAAAAGGTAGCATTTTTTCAAACTGTTCCTAGTTTTTTTTCTGGAGACTGCAGAAGTGTCCAGTTAGCAATCTTCATAATGAGGATCTTTACACACAAAAAAGCTTGAAAATGTAAATCAAGGGAATTTTTCACTGGGCTTACTGTGTCCAGATTATTAAGCAATATCTATGAATTCATGTTATTCCTAGTTTCATTAATAATGAACAAAAAAAAGCTAACATGGTAGCATGTAGCATTCCTTAATTTCACATTTGCAACACCACACTTATAATAGTCATGTTCAAAAAGGGAAAACTCAAGTTTCTAAATAAAAAATTGTGTAGGGCCTACCCAAAAGAATTAATTTTTTGTGTTTCCTAATCAATTAGCAAGGCTCTACTGTAATTCACTTACCTTCATCTTCAACAGTACTAAGTCTTTTTTCCAGTTCTGTTACAGTGTTTCTCAGTTCAAATATTGAGGTTTCAAGTATCTGCCTGTGGTGTTTAGAGAAGTCAATAAATTGTCTATTGCAATAATCCTATTATTAAAATTAAAAAGAATAAATCAAATATATTTTCAGATGAAGTATCTATTGATCTTTCCTATGTAATTACATCATCTTGCCCAAGTTTTTTTAAGTATTTTTCTCAATGGATACTACAGTAGCTTAAAAACAATAGAAGCATTTCTACTTTGTCAATAAAATCACTTCCATAAAAAAACAAGACCAACATTTGTAAAATAACTGTCTAGCAGATCATCAGAATTAAACAAATGCAGAGAAGACACTGGCCTTAATTTTTCATCTAAGATGTCCGAGGAGTATGGTTTTTGCAACAAGAATACACCTGAGAAATGTGTTATTTGAAATTGTGAATTAATTCCTCGTTTTGACTCACTGCTCAATGATTAATAGTAATTTTCTAAATTGTACCCATAACAAAACCAATCAAAGCATACCATGTATTATGACTATCAGAAAAGAAAGCCAGTGATTACAGTCAGATGACTGTTAAAAAATACAGGAGCTAAAGCCACCACTTTTTTTTTCAGTACCTTAAACATAATCTTGCAGGAAAATGTACTTTTGCCCATTGATTACTCCTGTATACCGGTCAGGCAGCCAGAAAGCTAAGTACCATAGAAACTGGGCTCCTTCTGCCTTGGAAGGTGTGACCAGAAGCAGAAGCTGGCAGAGGACTTTGATGAGAGCACAACCCACCTGCATGCATGCATCAGACAATGTGCTGAATGACTCTCACCCTTGTCAGTGGTAAGATGGCAGTTTGGTGTGCTACAGTGAATCGTACGATCTTGATCATGCCAAGAGGATATTACTGCTAACTACATTATTGACCACATTTATGCCAACAGACTGTTCTTTTTGGAGGTGCCTATGGAAAAATGCTCTCCTGTGAGACCTCAGGAAGTCAGCCCACATCAGCAGAGGTGCAAGCAAAACACAATGCACCACAATGCCAGAGCAGCTGGCGGTTTTGTCCTTTAAAGTTAAATTTGGATGGCCAAGATTTCAAAAAATAACCAATGGTTCTTGGATGCCTCCATTTTTCAGGGGTTAAGGGTTGGAAGGGACCTTGAAAGATTATCTAGTCCAACCTCTCTGCCAGAGCAAGACCAGCTAGAGTAGATCACACAGGAACGCATCCAGGCGGGTTTTCAATGTCTCCAGAGAAGGAGACTCCACAACCTCTCCGGGCAGCCTGTTCCAGGGCTCTGTCACCCTCACAGTGGAAAAGTTTTTCCTTATGTTAATGTGGAACCTCCTGTGCTCCAGCTTGCACCCGTTACTGCTTGTCCTGTCACCAGCCATCACCGAGAAGAGCCCAGCTCCATCCTCCTGACACTCACCCTTTATGTATTTATAAACATTAATGAGGTCACCCCTCAGTCTCCTCTTCTCCAACCTAAAGTCCCCCTCAGCCTTTCATCATAAGGGAGATGTTCCACCCCCTTAATCACCTTTGTGGCTCTGTGCTGGACTCTTTCCAGCAGTTCCCTGTCCTTCCTGAACTGAGGGGCCCAGAACTGGACACAATATTCCAGATGTGGTCTCACCAGGGCAGAGCAGAGGGGGAGGAGAACCTCTCTCGATCTACTGGCCGCATCCCTTCTAATACACCCCAGGATGCCATTGGCCTTCTTGGCCATGAGGGCACGTTGCTGGCTCATGGTCATCCTGCTGCCCAGCACGACCCCCAGGTCCCTTTCCCCTATGCTACTCTCCAACAGCTCGGTCCCCAACCTATACTGGTACATGGGGTTGTTCCTTCCCAGATGCAAGACTCTACACTTGCCCTTGTTGAATTTCATTAAATTTCTCCCCACCCAGCTCTCCAGCCTGTCCAGGTCTCTCTGAATGGCAGCACAAGGTTTCTGGAAAACATCTCTCAGTGCTTGGACAAGAGGAAATTATGATGACAGCGAGAGCTAAAATGGGATTTTTGGAATTAACACTTAAAATTAGGCACAGTCAAAGCTGTAACTAACAGCAAAATGAAACCGGTTTGCTTTTCAAGAAATTCTAACTAGGTGCTCAGATGGATGCAGAGGGATAACACAGGAAGAATGAATTATTTAAATCCAATGTTTTCAGTTTTTAATTTCTGTTACCATTCCAAGAATACATACAATATTTCTTACATTAAATTTTATTATTCTTTCTGTACCATTAGCAAAACTGTCAGCCAACTTCCAATTATATTTTGTCCTGATGAAAATGTGTACAGAAATGATAAATTGTCAGGTGTCAGACTGTAATTGTTACACTGACAGTCTTATTTTAATTTGGCAACTGAAATCAGATTAAAAAAAAAAAAAATCTAATTACTATTGAACATTTCACACCTCAATAACACCCAGAAGGTAGCCAGGGCGGAACCTCTCTATTTTAGTCAGTGTATCTGCAGTAACTTACAGTCCCTGCCCTGCAGAGAAGGGATGTAGAAATAAATCACCTTGACCAACTTGGCAAATGCTTCAGCTTTTTAATGTATCAGAGTACTTTGCATTTCTGGAGTTATTTCTACCTGTGATAGGAAGAGACGGTCGTGTCATGTATCTGTCACTGTGAATTTAATGCAGCTGTGTATAGCTGCCTGCCCAAACAGAGACTTGGTCTGTGCTTCGAGGGACTGTGGTGTGACTTTACCTGTGACTTCACATGTGTTAAATGTAATTAGGCATATTCAAGGCCTATGAATCTTTCCTACATCAATGGACAATTTATAGTCATCAGAAGAAAGGCCATAAATCCTGGAAGCTCATATTTAAGTCATCAGGGGAACTTAGCTACATTCTTGAATGCTAAGCATAGTAAGAAAGATCTTGTGAAGAAAAGGAGGAAAAGGCGCAGTTCAGATAAGAAGGCTGTGATTGAAATCACAAAAGAAAAAAATTGCTAAGTTTCTTTTTAAGACAGTGTACAGGTGGTATTTTACTTGAAAGAGACAGCCGCTTAGGATGAAAGATATTTTCCTGCACGTTTTACCATCCAGATCTGGATTATCTGGTACATGTATCAGGCATAAGGCTGCCTGAAGCCATTTTCTATAGAGGAGAAACCAGTGAAATATTACAGAAGCTCAAGGCAAATCACCAGTTCTAGGGCACCAACTCTGTAACATGACAGACCTTTACTGATTCCTGTAGAAGACAAAACATATAGGTACCTCCAGAACCTACGAACAAAGCAGAAACAATATTGCGCAGTGCAAAAGGCACGACAGGGCAGAGCATATGCAGTATTGAAACCTACAGACTTCTGACAATTGCAGTCAGCAGTGTGCTGGGAAAATGCTGCAGCTTTCCTTTCCAGCAAAGCCAGGGAAGCTGAAATCTCACAAGCTGAATTAACACACAACTCCATCAACATTAGGAGGTAGCTGACATGCATAAATATATGGCTTTAAGACCTCTTTGTCTATTAAGGAGTATACTGCAGTATTTATGCCTTCCCTCTCTCAGAAACATTTGCCATGACATTTCCCAATCAAAACCTGTACTGAATCCTGATTACAGTAATTCAGAGTCAGATTTAAGCTGACTTTCATTAAAGCTTTTGAAAGATTTCACAGTACTACCTCCACAATCACTGAGACTCAGCGCGTACTTTAGGTATAGACCCCTTACGGACATGGATGATTCAATTTACTCTTTGAAGTAAAAATTTCTTCTTTTTCAGTGCTAAATGAGAGTGGCAGGTGGGCTGTTAGGAAACTGCCTAAACGGCACAACAATCAAATAAGCCAGTAAAAGACGACAAGGGTGTGAGGGCCGTGAAGGACTGCAGGCATCTATCTGCAAGCTAGTCATCCTCAGCTTGCTTACACCCAGTGGAGAGAAACAGGCACCTCCTGGGGTGTGAGTCAGCTCATGGTAAAACAGCCAGCCAAAGTAGGTCAGATGAATCACACTTTCAAAGAGCCTTTCTGTAGTCACTGACTGTACATGTCACTGTTTCAGATGTAGATGTCTAACAAGCCTGGCCATTAACAGTTAGGCTGAATAAACAACTTCTGTGACATTGGCAATAATGGTACATACAAGGCACATGCAGGAAACAGGTGCAGAATCCACCTGGAGCAGCAAGTCTTTTACTGCCATGTCATCACAATAAAGGTTTTTATTAAATATATTTTTTCCTTTCATCGGCAAGTAAGTCACCACTTCACAATGCGTGCTGGGCTTTGGGCCCAGTGTTTCAGAAGATTCTCAGGGATATGGGCAAGAATTTAAGGTATATGAAGAATCCAGGTTTTCATTAATTAAAAAACATAAATTGGAGCAGTGAAACAAAGCCAATACCATTTTGCTTTTTACCTGAGCACCTGTATCAGAAGCATGTGTCAGGTAAAAGAACTGGTATATGCAGAGGATAACCTATATTACACTGACACACTACTGTTCAGAAGACGTACTAAAAGGACATTTGCTTATCCTGTGGTGCAAGCATGTCCAAGATTCTTTTCATGCCATTTTGAGCGCAGAAGCTGCCTAACCATTTTTACTCTGTTAATACTGGTTTCCTCCTTTCCATTAGTGAATAAAGATTTTATAAAGCGCATAATTGCAGGGCTAGTTGCTAGAATCTGCAGCCAAGACACTGAAAGAAACATTGTCTGTGGGAAAAATCAGTATGGAATAGAATGTTTGAAAATACCATGGAAATGTAAATATAAGGGTCTGACTTAAGGCAGCACAGGGGTTCTGACATTTTCTGACTTTTAATTTATTAACATTCAAAAGGCAATCATTTTCTTTAACACAGAGAAAAATGTGCAACTTCCTAAGCAAAAGGGGAATCCCACCTAGAATCCACCACTGCATGAGCATCAACAATCATCAGAGCAGTGAAACATGTTAACTGGTAGCAGTAACCACGCATCTTTTCTGCAAACTGCACTAGAGAGATACCATTACCTTCACTGTAGGTTTCAGAGATATTTACTGATAGTAGAGAAAGAGTGAAATACAGCTTTCCAGTTTTATTCAACATTGTGGAAAGAAGTGTGTTTAAAG